ATTAAAATTAAAAATTTGTAAAAAAAATAAGAATTTCACATATACAAAAAGTCTAATCATAAGACAATTATGCATACATAAATAGAATAATAAAGTAAAGTAAATATTACCTATTAAAAAGTTCAGCCTTACATGAAAACCATAATCGATTGAACTGATAAGGATATAGGCTGTGTAATTCAAAAAAAAGAGCAAATACCCAAAGCCAATTAGATAGAGTAATATTGGAGGAAGGTCATTAAATAATCTGCAATATAAATACTTCTTTAGTCTTATGAATCTAAATACAATTTGAAAATGTAAAATAATTACCTGCAAGTCAAGCAAAAACAGAGACAGTAAACTACTGAGAAGGAACAGATATAATCCATTTTTTCTGTAAATGGAAAATCTCTGGCATGAAAAATAGTAGACCATATCCAAGTGTTAATGCTCACCTTCAAAAAATAATACTTTATGTCTTTACTTTATCACTATGACAAAATCAATTTACATATGAGAAAAATGTCCATTCCTTGTACATTGGACAGTCCTTCTTTAATACTTTCTTGAATTTAATGTAACATAAAATTACAGCAACTAGATTAAGAAGGGAAAACAATGTTGATGCTGGTTCTTGTAATCCTAAAATTCTGATAAATGGCCACTACAAAATTAACAGCATTAATGTTATGATGTAATGTTAAAGAAATAAAAGTACCTTTCCATAAAATTGAGGTATTGGCCATTTTCTGTTTTCAAATTCTGTTACAGTTTTCCACATGCACTGATAAGTGCATTCATCGCTGCATGACCACATAAACAATTTATTAATGAATGTTTGTTTGTTATTAACTTTAAACGATTGTCCATCTATAAAGGTAAAAGATTTAGTAGTGAAGAAATAAAATAAGTACTTTACCTGAAGAACAATCTTCCATTTTACATTTTTCTACGCATCTTTGGAAAAAAGGAGACCTATCTCCATTTGATGCATTTGAAGATAAGAATTGTAGTTGTAACAGTACAATGAAGAAAAAAATCATTTTAAAATGTACTCAATCATTTTCAAATTTTAATTTACATCTAGAAAATTTTATTGCCTATTAATTACCTTCATTATTGTAATAACTATTTACATAAAA